ACGCAATTTCAAATGTGCAATTTGTGCTTAACCCTTTTAACGCCGACCTCAAAGAAAGTAATCGTGAACGAAATACCACATAAAAATCAAACTGAAACCTAATTTGATAAATATTGGAGGAAAATTATAAAAGTCTTCAGTTTCAAGTGAAAATTACTAGACTGAAATTGAGAGAAAGGCTCGTTAAGAAATGAAGAGCCACTATATTTCAAGAGATAAGCGGATAATTGTTCCGTGATGCGTAGCATATAATGCGGCGTTCACACTGTTATCGGTGAGCAGCTCGCGAAATGCGTTTGCCAGCTGTGTGGACAGTTCAACGAACAGTGAACAGCGTGCTTAACAAACAGGGAACAGCGTTCGATACATTAAACGATCTGTTTCGCGATTTCGAAGCGTACGTGGACGCATATTCAGAGCCGCAAACTGCAAACGAACGAACCTAGAATTGCTAGCGAGCTGTTGGCGAATTTTATTGTGGATGCAATGTTATTCCTCCTCGCGAGCAACTCGCGTGGAATTCTGTCCAATCTGGACCTCGGTCGAAGAGTCTGTTCGCGAGTTCAAAGCATATGTGAATGCATTAAGAGTTGCAGCAGCTCCAAACAAATACATTTAACCCCTTGCGTTGGCAACGTACGTGCGTTCACGGACCATAACGAGTGACCAAACCGTATATACGATAATTCGTCGCTTTCTACTTCTTTTGAACTCATGTCGGTATGACATCACTGAACAGAAATTATTAAGAAGTAATAAATTTATTATTCGTTTCGCCTGGGTTATACTTAAATGTACTTAAAACTGAGAAAATAATGCAGAAAGGAAAAAAAAAGAAAAAATTCTCGACGTGCGTGGCACGTCATTCCAGCGCACGAGGTTAAAATTGCTAGGCGAGCTGCTCGCTAAATTATAATCCTCAACACGACAAAGTACACTGACACATCCACAAAAGTGTATGTCGTCGTCCGGCACTAAAAGGGTTAAATTCGTTTAATCTCGAAAATGGAGGAACTTGAATGACTATCGGCGTGTCATTGCGAATGCACCAACGTTTTTGCCAATGGCGATCGATGACACCATTGATTCCACCGATGTGTTTCGTCAACATAGAATCACCGTTGATTCTACGAATTACGCTCGACGCACCATTGATTCTACTGATAATAATAGATGCGACGTTGGTTCTACCAACGATGATTAATGCGTCGCACAGATCCCACCAGATAAGTCCACTGGCGAGAGGGGCAACGTCGATTTCGTCAATGATGATCGATGCAACGTTTGCGTTTGTCCTATCGACAACGATGGAATATCGGTGACTATCGATACGTCAATGACTGTTAATTCTACCAACGAACCAGAATCTACAAACGACGACGGTTAATTTTATACATAATTATCGATCAGCACGCCGAATCTGTCGATAATCATCGATGCACCATTGATTCCGCCGACAGTGACGAACGTAACGTAGTATGTAATTCCATCAATGACGAGGATCGATATTATCGATATGATTCATAATGACACTTACAAAAATAAAACTTGGTACGTAATTTTAAATTACTTGGCAAATCGGAAATCGTAAAAGGTCAAGCTACCGAACAACATCGCTATGGGAATGAAGACGGTTATACGCATTGATAAAAGCATTTAACGGAGAAGTTTCGATGCGTCGGAGACTCGGGAGAGTCACTCCTAAAATATCAAATATCGAGAATATTGTGAAAAAGCGTCTCGGAATCAACGATTCGACTCATCTTTGCGATCAGCCGCGCAACAATCTTCGCAATCTTTAAAATACGAACACGAATCTTACGACTAATACGCTCTGTTAATCGTGTGAAGAAAATATCGTTAACTTACAGTGTGCAGAGAGAGAGAGAGAGAGAGAGAGAGAGAGAGAGAGATTTGAAGAATTTTACTTGATTTCTCAATAGTGACAACTATACAAGGATCTTAGGAAAGATAAAAACCACCGGAATCAGTTCACGAGTTGATCCAGCTGTTAGTTCAAAGATTGAAGATGAAAGACACGAAAGCGTTAGCAATTCTACAGGGTGGGCCAAAAGTTTCTTCCCGTCTATTTTTTTTTTTTCTTTTTCTTTCAATAAAACCATACCAAAATATGAGGGAACACTGATTTAATTTTAAATTAAATTCAAGATCGAGCATGATTTTTTTCATTATGTTTCAAGAATTATTTCTTTCAAATGTTAAAAAAAAACATAATAAAATAGTTGCGGATTTATTAGGAAGTGATTTTCGGCCCATTCTGTATTATTATACTTGACGTTACTTATCCTTACGTTAGAAACGAAACTTCATTGAATAGAAAGGAAGACAATAAATGTAGGAAAAGTGTGCTCATGCTTATACATATACACATGTAATTGTTATCGCTATCAACAACTACAGTTATCACCGAAACTCCCGATACAATCAAGAAGACCGAATGAAAACCGAGTTCTCTCGTTTCTCGTCTCAACGGATGCTAAAAATTCGCTTCGAAAATAGACGCGCCGGAACGATTGAAATTTCAATTGGAGAATTCCAATCGGTTTTATACTCCGCAACCACTGGGTGGGCCAAAAGTTTATTCCCACATATATGTATATATATATATATATTTTTTTTTTCAACAAGACACAAGAAAAGACTAAATTCAAGCATGATTTTTCCATTGTGTTTTAAAAATTATTTCTCTCTCTAAATATATATATTTTTTATACAATAAACAAAGTTACGGATTTATTTCAATAGGAAGCGACTTTTGGCCCACCCTATGTATGTACAACATTCTACAGCTATAATTATCGTTAGCACAAGCCACGTAAGTTACGACAAAAATCAAAGCTCGCCCGACTTCTATCGGTTAGAATAGCAATATTATCATGCGATATACGGAATATAGAGACTAGCGGCTAAATAATGCGACGGATATTATAATTGCCAAGCGTTAGGACGTTCGCGTAATTAACAGGACGAGGAGGAGGACGCTAACGAGACTCGCGCGTTTTCTTTCCCTTTTTTTCTTTTTTTTTTCTTCTCGCGCGCGTGAAACCTCCGAACGGAAGCGCGGATCGCGCGGATTGCGATTCACCTCGCAAATTGATGCGATTTGAGATAAGCGCCGCGTTAATGACACGCCGCGTTCCCGCGCCGCTTAATCAGCGCGATCCTGCCAAGGCGCACACACGCGACTTCTCTCTCACGACTTTCGAAACTCTCTATTAAAGTGATAAAAACGCCTTCCCTCCCTCTCGCGAGAGGATCAATTCGAGAGACGCGGGGAAGTGAAGCGAGGGATAAGTAGGATAATGCCATCTGACTGCGGGACTGGCTGATAATTTTTTTCAACGCGGTATCCGAATTTTTTTTCTAACCCTGCGTATATATATATACATGTACATTGTATGCACGTGTAGATATTAAAAAATATCTCAAGGGAACGCGAACAAATTTTTCCACCATCCACATGTTTCACGAGTCGAACGTTAAAAGTTTTACAAATCATTATACTTAAAAAAAAGTGTAACTTTGAACGTTTTACAAATTTTATAAATCACTGTTATAAAAATATAATTTACCGTGCAAGTGTAATAAATTTCGTTTGCTAAAAGTAAAATATACGAAGGGGTTGAATGTTGTTTGAGTAGTTGATCCAAACTATTTTTGTAGAGTAAGTTAACTCTTTGCACTCGACTGTCACTTCTGAAGGGACATCGTACCTAATTTTACCCAATAGCTCAGATTTTCTTTTTTTTATAATTTGCTGGTCATTATAATGAAGATTTAACGTTGTATGATGCGATGTAATGATATATCTGAACAGACGTTTGGAGTGAAATCTGTAACAACGACGTGAAAAGAAGAAAAGAATTTCAGAAGAAGAAATTTCTAAAGAGACATAATTAGACTTCTTATTGCTTTTTACGAAAGTTTAAAAGATAGTGGAGGATTTTTCCAAAGACTAAAACTATGTAGCTTGTACATTATTCTACCAAACTCGCGATACACGTTGATGATTGCTTCAAATTTAAACTATATCACAAAGAGTTAGAAAAATATAATCAAGAAAATAAATCGTGTTAAATATCATTTGAATGATTATTTCCAATGCTATATCATTTCGTCTTTGAGGTGGTGGTTCGTAAATAAATTGCTGGTAGATACGAAAAAAGTTTTCGAGGGCAAAGGATTCAAGTAAGACATTACTTGACAATTGATCTAGTTTATCACAGGGAATGGATCAATTTATCTTTCATTTATGATGTTATTGCTCTGCGAGAGAGACTTTTTTATTAAAAGACACGTAAATCCTTTAATCGCTCTAACGAATACCGCGTGTACACTAAATTGTTCCACCCTTTCTCGTCCATTCTGCACGTATCGCTACATTAAGAAGAAACGATTTTGACTATATCAACATCTCCTTGAAAGAAGATCGTTCATACATTCGAAGTTGGATCGAAGCTGCCTAGTTTCAATGCACCGTCGTACTGAAGTTTTCAGACACAAGCGAAATATATACGAAATTCTTAATAATTGAAAAGCTCTCCAGGCTCGGAATAATATCGCCGCGAGTGGTCTGACGAACGACGAAATTGTCGATATCTAGTGTATGTATGTACAGAACACCAACTCTGGTTTATTGAACTCTGTTGCCCGTGCCTTGAAACACGCTCAGAAATTTACCGACTAACTGACTAGGTGATCGATATGTACACTCTGTGCTCTCGATATCCGTGTATTGCGTTTTATTGCTAGCTTACAAAATTAAACGAAACGCCGAAACGTTCCTGCAATTCAAATCATTCCGTGACAACCTAAAGAAACTTCGAACGGTGTAAAGTAAAGTTTACACCGTATAAATCGCGAGGTGAAACTGAACACTCTGAAGGAAGGATTTCTCAAGGCGTGAATGACTTCCTGAACCCAGGAAGTGAGTAACGACGGAGACAACAAAAAAAAAAAAAGAAAAAAATCCACAGGAATAATCAGTATGTCAGTTTAATCACACTTAGTCGTCTAATGTACAATTAGGAAAATTGCTTCGACCGTCTCTTTGGTATCGTTGAACTTCATTGAACTGATTCACGGTGATCGCCACGTTAGCCACGCTCTCTAGTTTCACCATACACCTATGTACACGTTACGCCATGATATCTATTTTGAATTCCATCTAAACGAACGAGGTGGTGCATACATACACCTCGTCGTCCGCGAGAAACAGGCATGGCCGAGCTAAAAGTCTCACTCTCTCGACAGCAGCATCTCCCCTTTCCCCCTTTTTTTTTCATTTCCCCGAAATGCCTTATTATTATTATTACAATTAAACACGACAGCAGCTACGTGTCGTCTCCTCGCGTCCATTTCATCATTCACTCTTCTCTCTCCGGGTTGCTCTCTCCTCGGTTTTAATCGTCTCTTGGTCCGTGAATGAGTTTCTTCGCGCGATTGGCACGAGTTCTCCTTGAAGAAGACTCCGGTTGCCGATACCACCAACCACTCGTTCTATGTATAGTCGTACAGCGTGTATACAGCTAACGTTTATTTAATTATTACTGCTTCTTTTCATTTTTATATATAAATAGTTGAAAGTTTACGCTATGATAGATGCCTCTTTCGCAGGAGATTATCCGTCCGCGTTCTCACCGCGCGCAAGAAGGAAGTGTATCGTCTCGTGCGACTATTTACCGCGTCCGTGTTCATACACGGAACGGTGTACCAGAGAGAGATGTTCCCCTTTGAACGTTTCCACGCGTGGAACGGGGGTGGTAAATTTACAGTATATAGCAAACGAGAAAAGAAATAGCTACCAAGTGTTCGATGTATGTTATGTACACCTTATAGCACGCGTTTGTGCGTGCGCGCGTGTGTGTTTTTTTCGCCGATCTGACCGCTAAATCACATCTGATCCGGTTCGATCGACGCCGGGCTTATTGAATACAAATTGGGGGGGGGGCTTCATCGTTGGCACTTGAGAGATTACATTGTTTTGCAAAACTGCAAAAACTGTATTGTTCGCTGATGGACGAAATGATTGTTGTTGATGTTGTCAAGCTTCAAGTCGCGAGTCGCGTTGAGAAATTTCAAACGATTTGTGACGCGATTCGTGATAAGGTAAAACAATCGAAAAATGGACTGGTCTTTTGTTGTATGTTCTTTTTTTCTCTCTCTCTTTTTTTTTTAAGAATCGTTAAATCTTGTTATTTCTAAGATTTGGTAAATGCATGCGGTTTATTTTTTTTTCTTTTCTTTTTTTTTTTAGCGTATATTACGAGGAACGACTATGTCGACTACAAAAAATGAAAAACGTCTCCTACGACAATCTGTGTAAAAAAATTCTGTGTAAGATGTTCCAAACGCTGTAAAAAGACGACTATTAAAAATAATCATCCGTGTTATTATCGTCAGTTACTACGCATTGTTTCTAAAAAAAAAAAAAAAATCGAAAGCAAGGAAAACCTTACGAAAGTACAAATCTACGAAAGGGCATACATATTTTTTGGTACGCTTTCTCGCCAAGGATATTTCGTCAAAATGTTCGAAACACGTATGTACGTCTCTCGCCGATAAACTTCAAAAGTTTTGGTCGAAATACACTCTACAGTTCGATATAATAAGACTACCAACTATACAGCGTTTAAATTTTCCCGCGCTAATATTGCACTCTAAAAACGTAGTACTACGTTTTCATCGGCTATTCGCTACAAAATGTTTCCTCAATATCAAATAATAGTGCCATGTCGAAATATACGCGCGATTTTCCTGCTCTTCAAAGCATCGTTTGTCCATTTTCTTTCTTTCTTCTTTTTTTTTTTTTTTTCTTTTTCCCCCAGTCACACAACTATATTTGGCCAATCTTAATATCCGACTTGCTTCTCGTTTCATCGTTGATCGAACAACACGCTCTTTTTCAGAGCCACCAGAGCCAACACACGAATAAACCCCTCTTGCGATCGACACTCTGTCGATCGTCTGTCGCGAGTCTCTCGAAACTTCGTCGACACGCATGCAGGATCGAGGAAGCATGCTTCTCTATACTTCGATTCCCTACGAATCTACGACAGCTGCGCTATAACAGTTCACGAACGTCGAAAGTCGATATACGGCTGCGTCACAAACCTCGTTCGACGAGCTGAAAAATCCTGCATTTATATATTTATATATTATATATACGAACAGGGGCTCTATCTATTATACTATTTTTTAAACGTGATAAATACAAAGTGTGCGTATAGCCACGTGTCAATGATGGTGTGTCATTTGGCAGTTTCTCCTGTTTCACTTGTCTCTCACCACGTTTGGTGCAATATCCTCTCCCTTGTATCACCATAAAGAGTGGAGACTTCACTCCATTTTCGCCTTTCAGCTTAATATCGAGATCAATATCGCGTTAATTTATCGAGGTTGATGTCGCGCGTGCTTTCTACACGAACGTGCAAAAATCTTTGGTTTCTCGCTGCGAATCGATCTACGCGAATGTTGTCCGGATGCGGTGGCCGGGCCAACATTCCCCAAGGAGAACCAAGATTTCTCGGTTCCTCGATTGTTTATCTATCACTACGAATCGGCAGCTACGTACGAAGTATGTTAGGCCTGCCCCTTCTCGGAATCGGAGCTCCGTACGTGAGGTGCTACGGCGTTGTTCAATCGATGATACAGTACGTACGCTCGACTGTGACGCATCGTCGTTGACGTCAGTTCGAGTCGTTTTTAGCCGAATTGGTCAGCCTACAACCCATAAGCTTGTTTCAGCTCCGTTCTTCTTCGAAAGTCGTGTCAACTTGCAGAAGTCGACTTACACTTAGAACGGAGTTTCAGGGAACTCCGCGGAGTATTGAAATATACAATAGATAGATATATAATATATATATATATATTTGGTACTGTTTCGCGGTATAACGTTTCCTTTTTTTTTTTTTTTTTTTTTTCTTCAGATCACGAGGTTCGTCGAATGACAGACACACGCTAACCTGCTTCTTTCGTTCCTCTTTCCCTTTTCTCCCATTTTTCTCTGACGATGAATACGTGTGATCTGTGTATGTGTGTAATATATATATGCGTGTGTTACACTGCAAACGCGGAAACACGTGAAAACGAAACAAGGGGCTGTCAGTCTTGGGTGAGCGAGGACACGGAGTAAACGAGGATAATGACGATTTTATGGAAGAAACGAATCCACCGTGAACGCCAATCCACGGCTGTCCACGGTGTTCAAAGTGAAAAAAAAAAAAAAAAAAAAAACGATTCAGCCTCTGAGTCTCATCAGTCGATTTTTTTCTTTCTTTTTTTTTTTTAAATTTGATTGCACGCGATCAAAAAATTGAGCATTCGCGAATTTCGTCGACTCACCTGCAACGTCCTTTCGTCCTAGGAATGTGTGTGTCTATGTGTGTGTAAATGTATCGTTTCTAAATGCAATATAATGCTTCGTGTGCAATGAAATCTTTAAAAAATCGCATTCTTTTGCTAATAATTTTTTTTTTGTCTTCTTCTTTTCAGTTTTTTTTTTTTTTTTCTAGTTCGTTTAAAATTACTTTAGGCGAGACGTCGATGTAACTGTTCGAATTAGTCACGCTCTCTTCCTCCTATTGGCAAAATGTAATCCAGAAAAACGTCCGCTTCGCGACGAAGAGCTTCGGTTCAGTCGAATAATACCGTCCAACATGAGACGAAAGTATCTAGTTCGATTCGTTGCTTCTTTCGTCTTTGTTTCTTGAACTGCGCGAACGTGCGATAAAATACACATGCTCGCGAAAAACGTGAGCACGCTGTTGTCCTTGCCTTGCCTGGACGAGCTCTCGTCGGTTCGCTAATGCCCTCGATGTGGAAAATCACAGCGTCACCGTCTGCCGTGGCCGGTCAAGAATTTCGGCGATGATCTCTTACTTACCTGAGCCACGGTCAAATCTTTCGTTTCGGGACGAAACGACCGGAACACCAGTCTGTCTAGGATGCTATCAGAAAAATTCGGAGAGATAAAAAGACACCGCGAACGTCTAGCTTCTCCCGCGGCAACAATATCTACGAAAGTCAATCTTGAAAATCGAACGATTCAAGCCTAGCTCGAACACCAAACTCCCAAAATCATGGATCTTACAATTACTCCAAATAACTTTACAAAATCTCTCGCGATCTTTCGACTACCCGAAAGATACGACGACGGGTCTCGCAATTAAAAGAGAAACCTACGATGCTTCTTCTCTGCTCCCTCTTCGAGCAGTGTTCGCTTTCACGGAATCTTTCGAATCCGTCGTACTGCAGAACCGTCGTACACGTGAAAGGACGAGACATCGTTCTCAAGCCGATCTCTCAAGACGAGCATCCAAACGACGACGACGACGACTAACACCGTCAACGTTAGTCCCTCTACAATTCCTCGGACAAAGCAATGGGCGCCCTGGAGCCTGGCTTCATGTCTTTCACGCCGATCCCGATGTCGTCGACCGGCGCTGGCGCCAATTTCAACTGGTTCCCGTTCACTTTGATGTCGTTCACCGAGTGAGACCTACCGTGCGTGACCAGCGGCTTCGTCGTGCATTGATTCGTGCTCGCGTTCGAGTTGGAGCTGCTGACCGAGTTGGCGCTGGGGCTGGTGGCTGGGTTCGAGCTCGAGCCCGAGCTCGTACAGTTCACCGTGCCGCCAGAAAGAGAACTCGAGTTGGAGTTTGCGTCATGCGTCGGGTTCGCCGCCGCGACCGGATGCGGAATGGACGACTTGGAGCGGGGCTTCGGCTTCGGGTTCATCGAGTTCGCGATGGGAACGATGACCGCCGGCTGGTCCAGCGACTCGCGACCCACGTCCAACAGCACGGAGTCTGGCGACACTGCTGGCATCGCCTTGGACGATTTCGCGAACGTGGTCAGCTGATTGGCCGACTGAGACCGCACCGTGTGACCGCCGAGCTTGTCGCGCAGTGCCATTTGGTAGGCCACCTCGAACGCCTGGCCCAGGGTCAGGATCGCCTCCGTCGCTTGGTCCTGAAACACGCGTTCCTCGCTTCGTTGATTCCTTGGAGGAAGAGACTCGGGGATGGTGGAGAGACATTTGAGATGTTTGATGGAGGTGACGTTATATTGATAATTATCCCTTTTGCTCCGAGCGATTGAAAGGCGATTGTGAGTGTTTCTGTCTCTAAACTTTGTAACTTTGAAAATTATTTTATTATACTAATGAAAGTCTGTAATTTGGTCACAGAATTATTATAGTAATAATTGAATTTTATTATAGAGTAATGCGTAAAGTATTTACTTTTTACTTTTAATTATTTTTCGACTTTTAATTTTCTTTCAACTATTATATACTTGTTAAATTTACTTGTTAATTAACTTGTTACTTTTAATTTACGTTTAAATTATTATAATTTACTTTTCACTTTTAATTTACTTCTAATCATTATAAGTTACTTTCTATTTTTAATTTACTTTTAATTATTATACAGTACATTTTAAAAAAATTATTCGGTCACGTATATACACGTTTCTTCGGAGCAAAAGGGTTATTGACGATGAAATGACGCAATATCCACAAATCGACGCAGTATGATCGACTACCGAAAACACAAGACTAACGTCCCTATTTAGACACATTCTCATTGCATTGGCTGATAAAAGTTCATCGCGCAACAAAAGCGAATCACGCGATCGGAACGAAACGTGATAAAATGAGATGCAAAGACTTTAAGCTCCCCCCACGTCAAACATTCACATTTTGAATAACTAGAATTATGTGTCACAGGGATGGGGGCATGAACTACCAAAAAAAAAAGGTTGGGAACCACTGGTCCGGTATGTATTATAGAAATAAGCATGATGGCAGACTCACCATGGTTGGCACGCAAAAGACGTGGCAGAAATGCGTGCGACTGGCGTGGTCCTTGGTGATGTAGGCGAAATGCGTGAGATCGTCGGCGTCCTGGCAGGCGCAGTGAATGTTGCGAATTTCGTGCTCGCAAATCGGCTCCTATCGATCCCCATCATTCCAAATACAAATGTAGCCAGGCTAATCGTATCGCGGTGCAACGTTAATCCCTTTCGGCGCAACGCAAATTCCACGAATGCAGGCGATTGTCTTCCTTATTTATACCCTCGCTGCACTGTTGCCTCCCAAATTATCGACCGAATTGCAATCTCGCGACGAAAATTCGATTAATTTTGCGAAAGAAGAATTCACTTATCCACTTGCTATTAACCTCTTGCGCTGGAACGACGTGCCACGCACGTCGAGAATTTTTTGCCCCAAAATTGCAACATTTTCTCAGTTTCAAGTATATTTAAATGTAACAAATTAAGTTGATTACTTCCTAATAATTTCTGTCCAGTGATGTCATACCGACGTGAGTTCAAAAGAAGTAGAAAGCGACGAATTATCGTATACGGTTCGGTCACTCGTTATGGTACGCAATCAGTTGCAACGTGGTTAACATCGAGAATTTTTTTGTCCCAAAATTACAACATTTTCTCAGTTTTAAGTATATTTAAATATACATACCCAGACAAAACAAGTAATAAATTTATTACTAATCAATAATTTCTATCCAGTGATGTCATACCGACGAGTTCAAAAGAAGTAGAAAGCGACGAATTATCGTATACGGTTCGGTCACTCGTTATGGTTCGCGAACCAGTTGCCAGCGCAAGGGGTTAAAAGTGTGCACGGAGGGATTAACGTATGTACTATCACTAAAGTGAGCTACGTTCTTCTTCGTATTGAGAGTTAAAGTCTTACGTTGGTCATCGTGTTGAGAAACCGAACGCCGCGGTAAGAGATGGCCAGCGTGATGTCGGGAGTAACTCTGGGCTCGCGACACGTTTTCTTCAGCTTCTGTATCGACTTCTTCGTCGACTCGGTACCGCGTAACTCCTTCACCACGGTGGAGCCCAGATACTGTGCGATTTTAGAACAGAAAGAAGACCTAATGTCTCTGGAATTGAGACTATTCGTAACATTTGTACGGTCGAGTTTAACTCGTTGGGTGTTCGGAAATGATGATTTAACCAACGATTCAGTTCGGTGCGGATTTGGCTTATTTATCGAGCTACTAGGCTCAACATAATTACCTGTAAACTAACATTCGTGTAATGAACTAATTTTTTATAAATATTGCTTTAAACTGTGATTCTTGATGCACATACCCTACATTGTTTTTGAGGAGTTTTGCTTTTCCCACTAGTCACGATTCTAAGTTTAATCTTAAGATTGCGCGTGCTCCAGGGCTGGAGCCTAATCTAAGAACACTTCAAACCGATAAGCATTTACTCGTTATGCCTTTGTACATATGTAAATACTGCATATATTGGCACAAAATAAACGTTTTTTAATAAAAAAAAAATTCTTATAAGTTTAGGATTCTTTTTGCCTGATAACCGTTGATCATCAAAAATCGAACAGCGGTCGATAATCGTTAACATAAAAAAAGCCGATTCTTTCGGTAGATAAAGTGTTAATAACAGTGAACTGTATACACTTATTGTTAGTATTGTCTACTTTACTCAACCACGACGAGATTTTACTTCGCGGTTCACTTTGACGAAAACTCTCGAGATTCTAATCTCGATGATTAATTGCAAACTGAGACTCGAGATTCTGAGATTCACTTCGATGACGAATTGCAAAATTGCAAAATTGTTAGAAAAATCGTACAAGTATCTTAGGCGATGTCGAATCGCTGATGTTCCGTAATATTCGCGAGCTTATGCATGGAAGGAAATACACGATTTAAATTAACGTTGGGCAGCGCGATGTCTTCCCCGGAGGAAGAAAGCGTTAAATGCTCGTTCATTGTGTTGGAGGTTACGCAAAATATGAGATAAACGCTCTGAATGAAATGTGTTATTAGTTACACCTACGCGGTAATTATGGTAATAGCCTTCACCTTGAGGCGTTGTCACGAGTATCTGGGTGACATCATACGACGCACTCGTTATTCAAGAACCGTGCAACACGGGAGGACAAAATTATGTACATGGGGTACAATTACTGAAGTAACACGACGTGCTCTCGTTTTCATGGCCACTATGATATTTTCCTAACGTGATGGAACGCACGAAGAAATTTTTGTGAGAAGTGATTCCAGGATTTCTCTGTCCTCTTTGAACTTGAATCTTTAACGATAATAATATAATATAATAATTCGTAAAAAAAAAAAAGAAGAATCATTGACGGTTCACTTGGTCTCATTTCAAAGCGCGAAGTTTCTACACTCTCGTGGGAGTTTTCTTGAAAATTGTAAAAATGCAAACATTGCAAAATTTTTTCATGACCAAATCCATTGGAATTTTCTTTTTACAGTCATTTTATTGAACTTGAAACATTGGAGACACGTGACAAAATATTCTAATATTCAACGTTCAATAAAATGGTAGAAAAAATCATATTTCAAGGAGTTTATTGTAAAGAGGAAACTTCAATCTTCAAAATGATGGTAGATCCAATCACGAGGAAAACTTTTTAATGTTTTCGAGAAAAAAGTATCCTCACTTTCCCACCTGCCATGTGACGCAAAATCATCTTTTGACGAAAAAATGAAAGACTTATCCCTCCACTTGCTTAGTAGGGAAATCAACAGACTGAAAGAGTGGGCGAGGAAATTTCAACGCAGTGGAGGGGATAGCGCTAGCGATCAGGAAAGTGGGGGTAAGGGCTTGCGGGCCGCCAGTTAGCCTACCTCTGCTTTAAAATATTTTAAGTCTAGTTTGAATTATCGACATGAATTTTTCACCGTTATTAACATAATTATGCTTCTCGCAAAAATATAAAATAATACACTAACATTTACGAAAAATATATGATATGACAAACATTTCCAAACGTTTTTAACTCACTGTAAGAAACAATTCCAGTAAAAAAAAAAAAAAGAGGACACGGCGTAAGGAGTAAAACACTCATTGTCAATAGAACGGCAAAAGCAAGAAGAAGAAGAAGAAGCAAAGAAAAAAAAGAAGAAAATGGAATGTAAGACGGAAGCAATTCGACTTACGTTGGCGACGTACGTGACGCAACCGGTGACTAGAGCTTTTGGCTGGTGCCTCCACTGCGTCTTAAGGGTGGACGGTACACCGAGAAGCAGCTCCGACGGTGCCCTGATCTCGAGCTGTTCCGGTGCCGAGATCGCCCCATTATGCGAACTAGGTCGCTGGGGTGGCTGCGGAGCCGGCCTGTTTTTGCGGTGCCTTAATGTGCTCGTGCCGGTCGAATTCGTTCCGGTTATCGACGTGCCGCCATTACCCTCCGCCGTTGTTTCCGGCAGCTTCTCCCTTATCTCGTCCTTCAGCTGCTGTATGTTCGTCTTCTGCGGAAACCAGACACCATCAAGTTTTTCAACAACCTTGAGTCTGTTTTCGCCTTGACTCTTTCCGCCTTCTTTTCTCGCGTTCCTTTCAGTTTTTGATTTTCTAGTGATTGATTTTAAAGTGACTTGCGAACATTTTATTCACGGGGCAAATTGGCTCTCACCCTTCCTTCGATTTACCAAAAAATATGAATATATTAGGTGTATCTATATAAGTAATGTTATTTTCTTCAAATTTAATAAACATCACCATCTAGCGACAATAATTTAATTTGTTACAACATAACCTATATTCTGGTTAAATATATTGGCATTTAGCGTGCTTATTGTTGAATTTTGAAAAAATTCGAGAAAACCTTGGCAAAATGGAAGACCCTGTAAGAATGGAAGAGCAAAGTATTTGCTTGAAACACGTAACGCGAAAAATAAAATCAACTCCGCTCGATTCGATTCGCGAACATTTCACAGTTTTCAAATACTTTCGAATACGTTCGATTAAAAACCTTTTGAGGCAGCAAGAAGAGCCTGAATTCGTTAACGGCAATGCGCAACCAATCTCGACACTGGCGTTGCACTACAAAGTTCACCAGCCATGGGAATTTGCAAAAATACGAATGAAATGTATACACGGTCTCGCTGAGATTGTGCTGCAAAACGAATCTAGATCTAATGGAGGAGAGTGGCGTTTAATCAGCAACGTCAATATTAACTCCATAGAACACGAGCACTTTCCATTAATTTTCACCGAACGTAAAACCTTCCAATAGATTTATTTGCGAACGAACGAACGAACGAACGAACGACCGAGGCAAATACCTTTTTACATTGCGATGTCGCGTAGCCGGCCGCGTTACAAGCAAATTTCCGATACGTCAGCGGGCCAAAAATAAAAATGGACACGCCGGGGCGAAAAAAATTTTTTTCGCGCAGCGCGTTACAAAAGCCTCCGCACGAGCAGACAGTCGGGTGCTCGCGTTACAGAACGTGCAATTACACCTGTGAAAGCGTCGCGTTTCGAACTGGTCCCGCTCGTCGCCGAAAAAAAAAAAAAAAGAGGATAGAGAAAAAAACCAGAAAAACAAAAAAACCAGGGGAGAGGGACAGGAGAGAAAAAAAAAAGAGAGGAAACTTTTTGCAATCTCCGTGAATGAATCGTTTCGCGCCGTTCCGGGAATTACGATCCGAAACCAGATTCAAACCACACGAGCGTATCGCTCGCTGTTCGGATTACATCTCGCGAATCGTTTGTTACATCTGCCTCCCCTGTATAATTCGCCTTTACTGCGTCGCCCGAAAAAAGAAGCAGAGGAAAAAAGCCAAAAAGAAAAGAGAAAAAAAGGAAAAACGTAGAAGGGAAGAGAAATAAAGAGAGCTCTTCGCCTACGAGTGCGGTCAAAACGATCCCGAGGATATTGCCGAGTCCGTAGCGTTCGTAGAGTCGTTTTCAATCACCAAGTTGAAGTTTATAAAAAAATCGCGCGACACGTACCGAGCATTTAGAGAATGGATTTCTCTCGTTCGCCTGATTTCACAACGAGCGACGGTGCTCGTCGTTGTCGGGGAACGACGAACCGGAAGTTTTCAGCGGGGAAAAGTCATCTCGATCGACGAAAGTCGAACGACGCGTACGCCGCGAACGCGAACGATGGGAGACGTTACGAGGGGTTAATTCCGCAGGACCGACGGAATAGACGGATGGATGTGGCTGGTGGCGTGCAGCAGGAAGGAGGGAGAGTACGGTGCCGTGGAGCCATGGGTGCACGGGCCCCGGCAATCGTGAAATTCGATTACGAGAAAAGAATGGACGTAAGAAGCAGAGAAACGGAGGGACAAAGAGAGCAATTTGGACGTGTGCGCGTCGACCGACGGCCATTAATCGAATTTAATTAGCTAATTAAGGGAGCAGGCGGCGAAAAGAGCAGGCGGCGAGACGCCGGGCGGGCGAGAGAGTAGCTCGTTAACGGATGCACGTATCGCGCTCCAGGCGCCCGAACAAAAACTATTAGCGTCCGCTCGAGCGATCAGCCTGAAAGCTTGCTCGAGTGTCGCCTCGAGTGAGGTGAGTGTAGTTAGCAGCGAACAGGTAGCTAGCTGGGATCGTCCCCCCCCCTCCTCCCTCCACCCCCTCACCCTCCCCCTCCTCGCGATGCGCCCGTTACAATAACGCCTCTCCAATTAGCCACGATATTTACATTATGACGCGATCGGTTGAAAGCCCGTCGCGAGCGATCGAGCTTGCTTTGCCATGCGCGCGCGTACGCGTATGTACGTTCCACCCTCTTTTCGCCCAAGTGCTTCGCGGCCCTTGTCAGACACAGTTCCCCCCCCCCCCCCCCCCCGGTGCCAGGGAACGGAATTCTTAACTGGATGATCCGTGTGTCGCTCGCGACTCCACTCCAACCTCTTTCGTTTTGTGTCTTTCTCACTTCGTTTATTTCTCTTTCACTCTTTGTCTGATCTCTCGACGCGCCCCTCGAAGTGATCTTCGCGACGTGACGCGTATCACGCGGCAGGTGACACAATCGGCGGAACAAGAGCGTCACCGCGACGAGCCTCGTTATCCCGTTCCCAGCTTTCGCGCCTCGATCGGTTTGGTCGTTTTGCCTGCCTCGCTGCGACTGATCGTCGCGTTTAGCGTCACAACTGAGCACTGATCCGCGCGCGCTGATTCGATCGTGCCCTTTTCGCAGGCAGTTCGCGATCTTCGTGGATATTGAGGGCGGGTCGAACCAATTGCAAGAACGAGAGGGAAATTTTGGCAAATATAAAATGACAGTTCCTTATGACGACAATCAGACTAATTGCGCGCAACGTTTAAATTCTCCGCGTTAATTTCGTTTCCGCTGTATTGTGTCGAACATGCACCTGCAACATATAAAATGTAACAACCCCTAACAAAATTTATTTGTTCTTGAAAAAGTACACCGGCGGGTGATTTCAAGGAAAGATAAAAATCCACAGTCGAATGTCCTGTGTTTCGAAGAATTCCTCCAAAGCAACTACCGCGTACAAAACTAAAATCTCGAGGTCCAGAGTCTAAATTCAACTCCGACATCCATTCAAATACAATTCCTGCGATTTTCACGGACGTCCGTGTTCATTGTCCATTCCATGTGCGAATCTCTCGGCAAAAAAATAAAACGCGCGCGACCTCACTCACCAAGGTGTTCAAATCCTTATTGAGGTCCTCGAGGTTGGGCCCGGTGCAGTTGCGATTCTGCGCACGCGCGCTCGATCCGCTGACCGACGCGAGGATCCTCTTACGGTGCGCTGGCTTCTGGATCTCCAACACCGTCGCCAATTCCACCTCCCACACGCACCTCACGCGTTCCATGTCCGTGTACAGGTTCTTCTTGAACGTCTCCGCGTAATTCTCCAAGTGGATGCTCTTCAGCCACTCGTCGACCGACTGCCCGCTGCCGCCAGATCCACGTTTGTCCACGCGTTTGTTCAACAAACCGACCGCGTCTAAAATCACCGCGCGCTCTTGATCGCTGGTGATCTCCATGTCCTTCAGGTCGCTCTCGTCCAGAACTCCATTCTGCCGAGGTGAACAGATATCTTTCAAGATTTTTCAAACGTCTTTTGAAGTCGAGTTTATGACTCGAAATCGTTACACGGCCGGGAAAACCTAATGTAGTTTAGCCACGTAACGAAAAACTGAATGGCAAAAAAAACGAAATTCGCACAAGGCTAAATCTCTCGATTGAACCTTGTACAATATTTTTGAAGAAATGAATTGTTAGGTTCGCGAGAAAATTCTGAAAGATATGCAAAAACTTGGTTTTGCCCCGTGGGGGTGGGTAAAATCAGATACGTGTTAAAACATGTATAAAATGCAATTATGAAATTTTTATTTTCATTAAAACGATTATTTTTAACAGTTTTAGCAGATATAAAGTATTCTATTTGGTCTGTCTTATAAAAAATTATATTAATTATAATTTTGGAGTATTAATTATAATTACTTGTTTAGGAACTTTTACTGTATTTATAAAAAAAAATTTGAACTATTTTAACATATACCTTAATTAACGAAATAATAAGTCAATACAAAACAAATAAAATATTCGTCCGTCGTGCCCATCCATAACACATAATGCATCGAATCCATTGTTCTTTGAAGAAGGTCAAAATAGAACGATAGAATACAAATGTGACTTAACCGAATGGATTTTGATACTTTTTATATATTAATATACTTTCATGTATGTTTAATGTGTAAAAGATACTCGATGTCTTTGGTGATCTTTTATATATTTAATTCAATTGTATCAAGTTCAGGATGTATTACATCTTTGGACCAATTCTGGGATGACAAAAAGAAAAAAAAAAAAAAAAAGAAGAAGAAAATGAAGAAAGTAAGGTACTTACTATGAAATCCAGATCGTCGAACCCGTAATTAATGAAGAGGTTCTCGTAATCGGCCAGGCCCAACGTTGACAGCCACTGGCCAACGGAAGTGGAGACAATAGGGCTGCTGCTGGTGTCTGAACTCAGGCCTGCGTACAAATCAGACGAAACTGCCAATTTACCTCGTGAATAATAATCGATATTTCGCGAAAAAAAAAATGATCTATCTCATTCAGAACCTTTACGAATACACGTATATCACACTAATGTGTTTCTATTACTAAAAAGAACTCCTATCACCAACTCTGTTTCAAATGAAACATTTTCTCAGTCGAACAAATTCGATTATTTATATATCGTTATAAAATTATATTATTAAACTTCAACGTCGCGCTCGTACTTCGTTCAATATGTCCCGACGTAATTATATAAAATTGTATGAAAGTTTCAACGTTACCTAGCCTCGTCTGGAACTCCTTCTCCAATTCGGTGACGAAGACAGACTCTCTGACGAGACCGGTGCCAAACGACGCCATGATCTCCGAAATCTTGGCCCATTCCTCCTGCTCGTCGAACGGGCTCATTATGCTCAGCGATTTCTCGTCCCTCTCGCGATCGCGCTCCGACCGGAACGAGACCTCACCGTCCTCCAGGCGTTCGCCACCGCCACCGTCACCTCCGGTTCCCATTCCGCATGCGGACGGCCCGTAAACGTTCCGCAAGCGACGCAGCGTGCGAGGCCGTTCAGCCGTCACCGATCCTTTCAACAAACCTGTCGAGATCACCACGTACGGCTCGATTATTTCCAGCGGATTGCCACGACGCTCACGACGAGGGGACATGCCTAGCGATCGAGGAGACTTATCTTCTGTCAATTAACGACAATAAAGACATCGTTAAGAAAATTTTTTTCAAGGACATTTGCAGGAAGTCTTGCACGCAAGACTGCGCAACGCGATGAAATTTATACAAGATGCCTGTAATATTTGCTACGTGAATGAGTTTTCCATCGAGATTATTCTTGGTTGATTATTGTCTCAATGACTCTTATTGTGTCAATACTCGAGTATCAAATGTTTAATAAAATAGTTTTGTAGAAATCGTACAGTAATAATTTTGGGCTCGTTACGAAGCACGAAGCTTCTAGATTCAAAACGCTGAATTTGTACATTTTATACCGAGGTGTTTTTACACAGAGCAGCAAGATGGCGAAGTAGAGATTCTCTTCTCGAAAATACTGTAAATTGGTCGTGGTATGTAAAAATATTGAGACGTTTTCTACCGTGAATTTAAAGATTGAGGTCTCCCTTTTACAACGATATCAAAATACCAAAACTCGTTGTACGATTTCTTTTCGCTAGTTTATCGAACTTTGAATATAACGTCACATTTTCTTCAATTTTCGTCATCTGAGCCTAACACTCGATAAACCGGCATACATCAAGTTTTCGAAGGTCGTTGTAAACGAGACGCTTCTGAATCTCGAAACTCATTATAGATTCAGTCGTGAAAGAAACAGTATCTACACGCGATGTAAAAATATTTTAATATAATAAATGACACATTTGCAAAAAAACAGAATCTTCTCAGCTCAGGTTATTTTGCTGTTGTACGATTTCTTTTGGACACAAAATTGTAACGATATAATAATTAATAATATTAATAGAAATCAGTTTATAAATTTCTATAAAAATCCGCAACGACGAAAAGGGATATTTCACTATATTTAGATATGTTTGAAATTTCTTTCAGAGGAAATCACAATCTAATTAAAAAAAGTAGAAGATCTTTAGAGACGTTGGCGTATTTTTGGAACAGTATAGATTATTTCGAGTTACTTCCTCTCGCTGAAGAACTTTCAGATAATCCACCATCGATGGGGATGTTGCATTCTCGAAACTTAGCTGACCAGCAGTTCCGAGCTGAGTTTTAAACGCAAACACGTCCAGAGGCCTGTCTGGGATATCAGCCAACGGATATCCATAATGGATAGCAGGCAGCGTACGAACGAATTCACGGATACGTTGAATATTCATTACAGATTCGTCATTGTTCGATGCCTCCGCGAGATTAGTTCGCGGAAGATAATCAAGACCGACTCTCGACACAGATGTCGTTGAGCAATTACCGTAAATTCTGCCCCCGTGGCTCCGCGATGTACACGGGATGCCATTAAAAAAATACGTTTCTCTCGAGAAATTACTAGATTCGAGGGAAAATCGAAGAACGATTGACACACGGCCGTTTCAAAAATTCGGAACAAAAATACAATTTAAAATTGATGAAATTCTTAACTTAGACAGATAGCAAAACTTTTACAGTTCTATATGTATATTCGTGGTTTCCTGCAATTTAAATTCAGCCGTAACCACAAGACCGTGAATTTTTATCGCAATTTTATTGCAAATAAGCCGGACAATGTTCCTGAAAAAGTTATGTGTTCAAATGATACAGCGAATCATGTAACGACTGACGTAACATCATGAAGAAAGGTCATATAACGATTCATTCGGTCACATTTTAAAAGCGCGAAAGCTTCTACTTTGACAGAAATAAACTCGTTCTGTTCGAATATGATTTTCCAACGAGGACACTTGCTTTTTTCTCGAAAATTGTAAAAAAACTCAAACGCGTGTGGGAAAAAATTTTTTTCGCAGCTAAATTCACTAAGGTCTTTGCGACGAGCCCCTTAAAAAATGATCTGTTTTTACAATATCATTGAAACGTTATTAAGATTGAATGATAAGACGAAATGTTAGAATCTTTTGAATCTTTGTCGTCTAACCCTAGTACGTATTCGACGTTCGATAAAATGGTGAAAAAAAACTGCACAAGTTTACAAAGAGGGGGAGCTTCAATCTTCAAATCCATTCAGTCGCGAAGAAAATTTTCAATGAAATTGAAATTTTACAATTTTCCAGAAGAAAGTCTGCTAAACGACGTAATGTCATTTTTTGAAAAAGACAAACTCACGACTGCCAAAGTCAAACAAAGTAAAACTTTAAAACAATACCAACGTGCGTTGCGTGATCTTTCTCTACAAACTATCGATAATTTTTCATGTGTGTTTGGCACAGTTGTGCACGTTGGCAACATTTTCATTCCGCCGCAATCTTTCTTCAAGAGGTAATCGTTCTCTGTCGATCTGTGTTCGGCGCGCGGTCGTGAAAAATATATTTTGTTTCCGGTTCGCCTATTCTCACGTCGGTAGAAATTAAAAGGGAGAAAAAAAAAAAAAAAAAACGATGAAAAAAAAGAAAGAACGATGAAAAAAAAGAAAGAACGATGAAAAAAACGCGTTGGATATCCAAAACGCGTGCGTTCGTGCGTTGAACGTCGCGACGTACGGTTGCTCGCAAATAAATTCAGGCTTTCGAGTAAATAAAGAACGCGGATAAAACGTTTGGTGGTCAAAGTACCATAAAAAAAAAATCATTTGCGCGTGCACTTGTTGCGAGCATTACATTCGCCGTGATTGAAGAGAACGGACAAACAGCGGACATCGTCGTGCACAACACGCGCCGCACTACGGAACAAACAAATTCGAATCGGCGAAGATTATTGCGAATACCGATGTTTCCCGTCACGAACGATCCCTGGGAAAACGATTCATCCCTATTAAATTAGTGGAAATATCGCGAGTTTATAATTCCCAACAATTACCTACTTGTTAGTAGGTTACACTAACAAGGGAACATAGCCAAGTGTCGATCACCGATTTTGACGGTAGACTCGATATAAATGTAGTTTTCGAGGAAATATTTCACACGTATTTTTTTTTTTTTTTTTTTAATCGATAATCATTGATACCAAAGGGGGTGGAAACTACCCTCAAAGTTGGGAGTGCGGAACACATTTTGTCAAATATCTCGGAAATTACTGAAGATACAGATAATCTTTGTATAAATCGATGAGATTAATGTTTCTTAACGACGAATTTAATGGTGTATGTCATCTTGCGAGGAAACCATTTGTTTAAACAATATATTCAGAAAAGCGTACTTTCCATCATTTTTTTACAGGTTTTCCAAGTAAATGTCAATAACGTTTATTTTCTTGAATATTTGTTTATGAGAATTATACGTTCAAACACGAATTATAGATAAATTCGAATCTTGATTTTTGTATTACAAGAATATTCTTTCTCGCTTGCGTTTCAAATCGTATACTTGTATACTCTACGATGTTACGAATAATTTGTAGTAACTGGAGTGTTCTAAAAACTATCGCACGGCTCCTTAAATTGCAGATTGTATAAACCAGTAGCAAGTCTCTCGTTTTCAACTTATGTTATATTAAATATTCATTTCTGTTCATTGAAACTACACTCCATGTTCGTGTTCCACGTATCATTGAACCTACTGTACACGTAAATTCACAATTGGGAAGCGTATCTGAATCTGATTTACAGAATTCTCACGCCTTTTCTTTCGTCTTATCCACTTGACTGGTCGCACGGTCTCGCTTCGACAGGTGCAAATAATCTTCCTTTCCCTGCCTGCCCCCTGTCCGCGTGGCTCGTTCTTTTCGCGGTGTCGTCGGCTCGGCGACGTCAGCTCGCGTCTGAAGGGTTGAACTCCCCGCGGGGGCTGCGTTCAACGCCGACACTGAGGACAATCCACGCTGGTTTTCAACGGCGCCGTTACAATCGTCGCCTCGGGAACGCGGGCGGGGTTTAGTCGTGGAGCTTTCTTTCATGCGAATTTCACAAATGAGAATTCTCGCGCCAGCGTACGCACGTACGAATGGGCCCGGGGGAAGGGCTCGGCTCGCCGTGCGAGACCGCATAGACTCGCTGCGCGAAGAAAGGGCAAGGGTGGAAAAGGGAGGAGAGAGAGAGAGAGAGAGACAGAGAGAGAAACGAAAAAAGTACCACTTTAAGCAGCGGCTATGAACGCCTTTCAAAGACGCTGTGTGTGCATCCTCTCCTGGCACCGGTGCATTCTGGGGTGTGGATCGTGTACGTACAGGCGTACGTCCAGCCGTCGTGAAAAGCTCATAAAAATATTAAACAGACGGAGACGGGGAGATGATAAAAAAAAGAAAAGGAAAAACGAGGAAAAGAAAAAAGTAGAGAAGAGGTGTATCAGAGAGAGGGTTGTAGCAAGGGAAAGAGAGAGAGAGAGAGAGAGAGAGAGAGCGTTGAACGCACGTTACAAGCAGCAAACGTACGTAATTTTAATTAAAGCTCCATGATGAAGGGCGTCGCCTGCTCGCGCGCACTCCAGCCACCAGCAGCGTTATATTATGTAGGCAGTTATTCAAGTCATATACACAAATTACATAAATCCTCATCGTCGTCCCTTTCTCCCGTTTCTCCACCTTCTATCTGCCTTTCCCTTTCCTTCCCCATCGACCCTCGGCCACCCTCTTTGCCTGCACCTTCTCCTGCTGAAATTTTTCTCTTCTTTCCCTCCTCTCTTCCTCACCCCTTTAGTTCATCACTGTGTCTCTGTTTCGCGGACGCGAACTTTCTCTCTCTTTCTCTTCTCTCCGGGGAGTGCTTTCTCTCCTCCTGTTACACCATTCTTCTCGTCGCCGTCGCACGAGCGACCACCGTTGGCTTTCACGGCGTAATAGTTTCCCTCGCGAGGGAATCCGTTTAATCGCAGTAATTGGGAAGAGCGGCGACATTATGCGCTTTTTCCTTCGCCTTTATTTCGTCGCCGGTTTGCCACGGCTCCCACCGCCGTGTGAGAAACCACCGGCGTTCCACCAATGTGTTTCTCTCCCTTTCTTCCTTTCTCTCGCCTCTCGCGAGTCTCCTCTTGT